ATCTCCATTAAGCTCTGAATGCAACAAGCACTAGTGATTGCCTTCAAGTTTACATATTCATATTATGTCCACAAGTTCATAAAACCAGCATAATATTCCTGAATGGTTTTCTCCCCTTGACTATAGAAAAACATATCATACTCGATTTGGAAGCATCATGCAAGATTTGATTACTGATAAACTTGTTCCAAATATTCCCCCATTTGTTTTGCAGTATGAAAGCCTCTCATTGGCCTTCCAATAACCAAATCTACAGAGCCGAGGATCCATGAGATAATTTTTGCATTGTTGATCTTCCATTGTTGGGTATCTTTAATATTGGGTGTAGCTGGTTCAAGTCCGTGCCATCAACATACCTCCACAAAACCTTTCCCTTCAACAAAAAATTGAAAATGGAACGGCTAATCGGGATAATTTTTCCCATCAAGTTTTATTACCAATACATCTCCTTGTTCAAAAGCGATGTGTAAGTTGTATCAGAACTCACAGATGTGATCAAGAATTTAATATTATATCAAGAGTTTTGATATAATATGGTCCCTATGGACCACCTCTTTTATTCAAAAAAAACGTAAAGAGATGAACAAAGAATAGATCCACGGATAAGGAGATCCATCGAAGATGGTTTCTCTCTTCAAGAAGAAACCCTCGGCCAAAGATAGTTTGAGAACAAGTAAGAGAGATATGCAATTGCGACCAGAGGAATCGAAAGAGAGACAACAGCCTTACAATTAGAGGAGAAAAAAAAAATTGTTGCATAGATTAAGAAGACAGCAAAACCACAAAAATCTTGGCTCGCCAACTTGTTAGGTTAAGGCAACAAATATGCTTACAACATGACTTATTCTGTGATGCAAAACTCTGCAGGAGCCCAAAATGGCAGGTACCTCTTTAGTTGGTGATGCAAAACTCTTTGCAACACATTGTTTGCAAAAAAAAGATGATAAGGCTTTGCAACAAAACAATTGCAAAAGTTGCTGGAGTCTTTGATGGAAGCCTTGCAACAAAACTATTACAAAAAGATGACGTGCCCAAATCTTGCAATATGCTCAAGTTCTGCAACAACCATTGAAATAAAGAGAGGGAGAAATATGTCTTCGACCTTCTCTCTCTAGCACGTGCTCAACCAACCAGCAAATAATGAACGTTGCTGAACTAGGGAAATCCGATAATGGAACAATCCATGGGTCAGCAATAGATCGGCAAGCTCTGATACCATGTTAAACATCTGAATCCTCTAAGAAAATAATTGTGTATTGATTCATTACGAATATGCAGAGTCCCCCAATACATATAGGGCTAATCAGTTATTGATAATAATGAACTAATCTAGGTTTATTAAGATAGATATCTATATCAAATACAAGATAAACTTAAAATTAAAAACTATCATCAACTATCTATATCTCCTCGACTATTTCTACTATCTCTATCTCTACATAAATTTTATAATTAGAGACGAAAATAAATTTTCAAGCCATCACAAAGATTTCTAGTACTGACACATCTTTCAATGCTATCTGAAGGTGCGCTTTACTTTTGATTGTTGAGGGACTCATCCTTATACAAATCACTCCCTTAATTAAAAAAAAAAAGATAAAAATTTGAATTTTGTAACACTTAGGGTCCGTTTGGATAGGAGGAAATTAGGAATCTTAGATATTTAAAATCCAAAAAAATGTATGGATTTTCAATATGGATTTTTGTCATAAAGTCATCAAATCTCTTGTTTGGATAAACTATACAATATTCATGGATTCCTTGCAATCACTTCCATGTCCATTGTTTGGTAACAAAACTTGATGCAATTTCTCTCTCTCAAATTTTTATATACTTTCTCTCTCTAAAACTCAAAATTTGGGATAGTATATCTATAAAATTTTTGATATAGTTTCTCTCTCTAAAATTTGATATGGTTTCTCTCTCTAAAATTTAATATAGTTTCTATCTAAAATTTAAAAGTGGAAATTGTCAATCTAACATTTTTGAGATAATTTTGCTCTCTAAAATTTTTAGGTGCTTTACGCTCCCTAAAATTTAATATAGTTTCTCTTTTTAAAATTTAAGATACTCTCTCTCTAAAACTTAAAACATGAGATAGTCCCCCTCTTCAATAATTTTGATATAGTTTCTCTCTCTCAACATTTTTAAGTAGTTTCTCTCACTAAAATATGATATAGTTGTCCTTTCAAATTTTAAGATACTTTGTCTTTCTAAAAACTAAATTTTGAGATAACTTCTCTCTAAAATTTTTGTATCTAAATTTTTTATATATTTTCTCTCTCTAAAATTTGATATAGTTACTCCCTTAAATTGTAAGGTGCTTTCTCTTTCTAAAACTTCAAATTTGAGATAGTTTTTTTCTCTAAAATTTGATATACTTTCTCTCTCTGAAGTTTAAAAAATTTGATATACTTTCTCTCTCTAAAACCTAAAATTGAGATTGTTTCTCTCTAAATTTTTTGAGACAGTTTCTCTCTCTAAAAATTTCATGTACTTTCTCTATCTAAAACTTGATATTGTTTATCTCTTCAAAATTTTTAGATACTTTCTCTCTCTAAAACATAATGTTTGTGATAGTTTCTCTCCCCAATAATTTTGAGATAGTATCTATCTCCAAATTTTTTTAGGTTGTTTCTCTCTCTAAACTTTGATATAACTTTTATCTTTACAATTTTAATATATTTTCTCTCTCTAAAATTCCAAATTCGGGATAGTTTATAAAACTCAAAATTTGAGATAGTTTCTCTATCTAAATATTTATCTCTCTAAATTTTTTTTGGCAGTTTATCTTTCTAGAATTTATAATAATTTCTCGTTAAAAGTTTAAGAATACTTTCTCTCTCTACAATTTTAAGAATACTTTCTCTCTCTAAAACTTAAGATTTGATATAGTTTCTTTCTCTAAAAATTTGCATGTACTTTCTCTCTCTAAAATACGATAGTTTCTCTCTAAAACTTAAAATTTGAGATAGTTTCTTTCTAAATTTTTTGATGCTCTCTCTAAAATTTTAACATGCTTTCTCTCTCTAAAAGTTAAAATTTGAGATAATTTCTCTCTCTAATATTCTAAGATAGTTCATCTCTCTTAAAAATTTAGTACTTTCTCTTTCTAAAATTTTAACGTATTTTTTCTCTCTAAAATTTTAACATACTTTATCTCTCTAAAAATTAAAATTTGATATAGTTTCTCTCTCTTAAATTTTGAGATAGTTTATCTCTCTAAAAAATTTGGTATTTTCTCTTTCTAAACTTTTAACATACTCTCTCTAAAAATTTAACATACTTTCTTTCTCTAAAAGTTAAAATTTGAGATAGTTTTATCTCTACAATTTTTAGATAGTTCATCTCTCTAAAAAAATTGAAACTTTCACTCTCTAAAATTTTAATATTCTTTCTTTCTCTAAAATTGTAACATACTTTGACTCTCTAAAAGTTAAAATTTGAGATAGTTTCTCTCTTTACAAAATTTAGATACTTTCTCTCTCTAAAATTTTATAGCTACCAAATGCCCCCTATGTTTTGGGTCGAGGGAGCCAATGAGTGAAATCCATAGGCCTTTGAAATGCAAAAAAACATGTTTTGGTGTGGAAGTGAAATCATAAAAAACTAAGTCTTATTTCCATGATTTTGATTTTCCTGATTTTAAGTATCCTAGTCGTTAAGCAATCCAAACGATTGGCTTTTGGCAAAATCCAAAATATTAAGAATTCATGCCTTAAAATCCATGTATCCAAACAAGCCTTTAGATGTTACACTTAAAATTTTTGATGCTTTTAGTTCAATTTTGAAAACATTATTTTCTTCAAGCCCAAATTGAATGGTGTTCGTAAATTTTTTATTAACTTTAGCATATGAGTTGAAGAGGTTACGTTTTCAAAATTTGAGGTCTTAGAAATACTCACGAAATCGGTTTCCCAAAGGAGATTATTTACTTCAAGTCCATAAAGAATAGGATTTGTAAATTCTTTTTTGTTTAAGTTTAGCATTTGAGTTGAGGAGGTTACGTTTTCAAAAATTTAAGGTCCTGCAAATACTCACATAATGGGTTCCTGAACGAGTAAAATAGGTAGTATGCTCCCTCTGGAGCATGAACTCTTTTGTTATTTCAAATTTCACAAATTTTGCCGGGGTGACTCTCTTTTTGGCGCGCTAATAAATGAGGGTGGGACCAGTGGAGACATTCGCGTCCCTTTCCCACGTTCATTCCTACTCATCCCTTCTACTTTTCAAGAAAAAGTTAAAATGGAGCCTAGGCCCTAAGCAAACCCTCATTCAAAATTTTCACTTGAAGCGGTTGTTTTGATTTTTAAATATCTTTAAATTGATCGTCTCGACATCAAATTGAATGGATATAAAAAATTTTAAGTTTTGCAAATAATGTACATTATAATATATTTTTTAGACCGTTAATTTTCAAGATTTTAAAGTTTTGATAGACTTATACAATCTACACTATTTTAAAAATTTTAAATTTTATAATTAAAAATATAAATATATTGTAAGACGATTTCTAATATTAAAACCACATCTCCCACACTATTTGAAAGTATCGATTTACTTTGATTGTTTGGAACCTCGGCTCTATATAAACGGCTACCCTTTTCGAAACAATAAAATGAGAGGAACACTCCGATCGGGTGCTTGTCGGCGCACTCCGTATTGTTGGTGAGAGAAAGTTTTCTCCTTTCTCTTTACTTTAAAAGAGTGGCCAACCCATGGTATTGTTCCCCTCTCTCTATCCTTTAAAGGAGTGGCCAATACATTGCACTGTTCCGGTGGAGAGCAGTGAAGAGAGAGAAAAAGCTTGTCCTCGCAAGGTAAAGCCGCAAGTGAAACAGAGGTTTCCCATTTAACATGGAGAGAGAGAGCGGTAGAACCATGTTTTATGCAGTAGAGAGAGAAAAAGTTGCTTCACTCTAATAGTGGTCCTCTTGCTTTTTAGGACTAGAGAGAGAGAGAGAGAGAGGCTCATTTTTGCAGCACCATGAGTGAGGGCAAGGCCTCAACCCTAGTCCTCCTCCTGGTAGTGGTCCTCAGTCTTGTTGCCTTTGGCTTCGCCATTGCAGCTGAAAGAAGAAGAAGCACTGTGAGCTTTCTAACTTACTTTTCCTCTGATTTATTCACCTCATTTCTCTTCTTCCTTTGATTCCGGATTAGGGCTTTTTTTTTTTTAAGAGGAGTTGCGTAGGCTTTCAGTTTACGGATCTGGGATATATTGCCATTGCTGAAAAACATTATCGATTTCTTTCTATGTAAATTTATGGCTGTAAATGCTTTTACTGGTTAAACTGCATTGTATCGTTGCTGCATTCTGGAACTTATCGCGTTTGCTGATTATTATTATTATTATTATTTTTGTGGATGCTTTTTTTGATGGATACTTGTATTTAGATCATGGTTTCATCTGAATCTTGTGGCCTCAAATGTGGCTGGATGTGGTGGTGAACTCTGTTGGGTTATGGTCTCTTTGCTCTTTACGAGCTAAGCAAATCCTTGGATGCAGTTGTTTTGTTACTCTTTTTTTAAAGGGAAGGCTTTTGGTTTTCATTTTTTGGCCTTTACATTTCTTCAATTGGTGTTATATTTTTGCAAATTCTATCATGTTGGTGTTTCGGTGTTCTGCCTCATTTGTGGATGCTTGCTCTGAACTTGGGATTCCTGTTCTGGAGCTTTAGGACTATCTTTTGAACTAGCCTTGTATACTAAAGATATTGGCATTGTAGTTCCTTTTCAAGCTTGAAGTGTGCATAATGATTCTAGTTTTGAAGAGATGATTTTATAGCTGTTTTCTTATTTTTTGTTTGGTATTTTCCTTCTTTTCTATCTTTTTCAATACATGGGGATAACAGAGGATTTTTCCTCCTGGCTCCTCTAGCTCTACAGCCTGAGCCTCCTCTAAGGCCCAGGTGGTTTCATCATGACTTAGTGAATGAAAAGGGAGGAATGCTTTGAGCCTTCGTATCATAGAACTTCAGAAAACCTTCTTCTGATTTAGCCAACAAAGAGAAGAATGCCATGGGCTTCAGATTGTTAATCTTTAGAGGAACTCATCTTTTGGAGATCATTCGACACTACATGAACTCAATGTGCACAATGCCCAAATGGACCAAAGTACTTTGTTTATATGTGGCAACCCTCTGCCAAACCAGACTACCGTTTGCATTGGGTCCTACGCTCTTTATGTGAGTTCACTAATGTTATTAATTTTTTAATTTTACCTTTAATTACGTCACTTTACTTATTATTCAGTATTTTTTTATTGGCCAAGTGTTGAATAATTTGTCAACATCTAGATGGGGGAATAATTTAGGTTTGAGGGAACTTCTCTTTTCTATTTTTGTACGAAGCGCATATTTTCAAAATCTTCCATAGTGAGGTGGGGTTTTCAAATGATAATCTAAAATAGTATTTGAAAAATCGATGACCCGATCTGGAATTGGGCGATCTAAATTGGGAATCGGTTGCACTGTCCCAGATCTTAGCATAAAACGGGATTCGGCGATTTCACTGTAGGGATTTGCGAGTCATGACCTCATGGATTGAATCTGACATCATCGAGTCTGTGTCATGACGTCAGCACATTTAACCTTGCCCAACGCTCGACTATCTCCCAGCGTCATGCACACCTCATGAGCACAAATGTTAATGTAGATGTAGAGTTGACGTTTTTATAGTGACTGGTTCTCCCCAAATCCTTCGATGTGGGATTATTTTTATATTTCCATTAACAATGGCACAAGGTGAAGTGGGCGTTGGAGAACCTCTTAAATCTTACTCGATTTAACGCGATGTGGTACATTTTGTGGATTTCAAAATATAAAAGTAAACCTGAAGTTTAAAAAATAACGATAATACCCTTTTCAAATTACGAACACCTTCAACGGTCTCATTTTCTTCCATAAACCTCACACCATATGAAATAACTAGGGAGCATGTATACTATGTTTCTTGGGGAGTACAGTTCATTTTATAGTTGTTGGAAACGTCTGTGATTTCGAATCGCGTGTATCAGAAGTTTCAGAATCTAGGAATCATTGTCAGTACAATTCGGATTTGAGAAAAATGATTCTCACTATTTCAAAATCGCGACTCGAAAAATTAAGAATCGTGTTTCCTATTTGCAAGAATCGATGTCCTTTCATGTTGGAATTGCATTTCATACCTATATGGAATCACACATGACCCCACTGGTTTCGGTTGTTGATGGAATCGTGATTCATAAAAATATGGAATCGTGATTCCTAAAATTCTAGAATCGTTGTTCCCATCAACTTGGAATCAACATTCTCACCATTCCGGAATCGTGATTCTCCCCATTTTAGAGTCAAGATTCTCCCCTTACTAGAATTGCGAACCAATTCCCAACGGTATATGAGAGAAGTATCCGGAAAATATATAAATTTACCCATTACTACAAGATCGAATTTTGATCTGTATAAAATCAGTCCAAGACTCCAAGTACTAATGTCAACCTTTATGATATCTTTGTGGGTAATCCCATACAATGGACTTGGTCTACCGATAACCCTATTATGCCTACAAGGTCTGGAGCTAGTCTACGGTATACAAGGAGTGAGAACAAGGGAAAGCTCCCTTTATCGCCTTTCCTTAAATTATAAAATAAGTACATGACATAGTAATTTTTCTTTTTAAATATAGTTTTGAGTCTTTTGACTTTTGAAAATTGAGTTATTCAATTTTTAGTCAATTTCTTTGATATTTAATGATTAATTTAACCTAAAACACCACACATGGCACTTCACTCATATCCTTATTATCTTCTTATTTTACTTAAAGAAAAGAATTTTTATCCTCTTATTCAACTTGAAGAAATGACGGTGCCCATCATATATTAAACATTATTACATTAGTAGTTTAGTACCCACACCATTTACCAAACTTTATTAAATTTGAAGTAACATATTTTTTTAGCATTATTTATTCTTGGTAAGAGTTTTTAAAAAGTAACATGGAATGAAAGATGGAAATTAGTTATTAAGAAAATAAAAAATTTAACATATTACTTATATTTAAAATTTTGATTTTATTGCCGTGTACAACAACTTCAAGTTCTCTCACGCTCTCATACATGTCGCGCTCACTCATGATTGATGACACATTAAAGAGTTTCTGCTCTCCCTATGCTCACATATTACTCATATTTTAAAATTTGATTTTATTGCCATGTGCAACAACTTCAAATTCTCTCACGCTCTCATACATGTTGCGCTCACTCATGATTAAGCACACATCGAAGGGCTTCTGCTCTCCCTATGCTCACATTGCTTCCTGTCAACATGGATTCGCAATTCCTTAATACTTTGAATCAACGTTTAGCATAAGTAGAATCACATTGTTGTGTAGCTAGGAATCACGATGTTTGCGATATAGAAACTTGATTCCAAACAACATGGATTCATAATTCCAAAAAATTTGGAATCAACGTTTCTCACAAGCAGACTCGCATTCTTGTGTAGCTAAGAATCACAGAGTCCTCGATTGGAATCTTGATTCCGACAATCCTGAAATCGAGATTTCTAAATTAGGTGGAATCGCGTTCTACAAAAAATGGAAAAGTGATTCCTTTCTTTTAGAATCGACTTTCGTCCGGGGAATACCGAATCGAGATTCCGAAATGGAAGTGCTACCGTCATAGACGATTCGGGTAACTATAGTTCATTTCTACTGCCTCTGTTAGATGACCTATTTTAGATATTTTTTTAATAGAAAATTTTGGAAACCATCTAAGAATCGCAAGATGATCATTCCAAAAAGAAAAAAAAAAGTGAAATTTGACTATTCTAACACATAGATCTCACCATCTAAAAATTGGACGGCCTCTTTTCAATCTCTAGATATTTTCTTTAAGTTCATAGAGTGTGTGATTAAGAATGTTTTTAATTGAGATTAACTACCCGTTGAAGAGGTTACATCCCCAAAATTATAGTCCTAAAATTAATTCACTACATTTCCATTGCTTGATTGCTTCATGTCTCTCTTGCTTATACAAGGGCAAGTTCGTCTACATGAAATAGTATATAAAATAAAAATTATTTGTTTCAAATTAATTATATTTATTTTATTATAATATTATAATAAACAATTATATATTAATAACCAATTCTTGTATTTTACTATTAATTTATTTGCATTATAAATTATGTAATGTATTATTTTTCTTATAGTTCTAAATAAGATTTTTTAATCAGATGATATTATAAGCCATTTTAGATTTGTTCTTGTTTGTATAGTAAAATAATTATAAAATATAAACCAACTTTCAATTTTGGTATATGATATTACAGTTAGTTAGGTTGTGAGAATTTTGGATGAGTAAAAGAAATTAATAAGTGTTTGATACTTTGATTTGATACTAATTTCACATTTAATGGGAATTTTTTTTTTATTCTTATAATTTTTTATATTTTTAAATTATTTTGATACAATATTATAATATTATATTCTAATTAATAAATATACGGACATTCAAACAATAAAACAACGTCAGTATTCACCTAGTTTTACAAAATAATGAAAATACATAATGCACCACTCCTAATTTATTTAAGAGATTAAAAGAACACTATTTTTAGAGATTTTTTGAAAACTTTTTGGGACAATATTTTCCGATTTGGCTAATTCTCCGATCCGATCCACCGATCTGACATGGGTATGGGTGTGAACGATTCGGGTGACCGATACACTTTTTTAAACCTTGATCTAAATGGGAGATTGCACCCAGTTTGAAGTCTCATCCAATCACAAGTTCCATGCCCACTAATTATTGTATTACTTGACAAATTAGAGATATCCTTAATGGTTCCTTGAGTTCGTGATCATTCCACAACCCTTGTATCGTGGAATTAAATATTTATGACATATTTCCTTATTTTATTGAAATCAACACTACTATTGTTGATAATAGAATTGCTGGATTCTCTATAAAGCACGCTTAAATGATGAAACCAGTGAATAAAGATTTGTTTCAAGTAGGAGAAACTTGCCTATCCCGATTGCATAGTCCTGTGGGGTGACTTTTATAAATGAAAACTTGGCTTGTGGCCAAGTTTTCATTTTATGTACATT